AGAGAGGGGAAAAAAATCAAGATTTCTCTTTTTGTACAGGTTCATTGCATTGCTAAGTACACCCTGATGCAATGAGGCAAATGACTGTCTGCAATTATGTTAAGTGCATCAACTTCATTTAACATAAATAGCACATTTAAGTGTAAGCAAGAGCTTGAGATGGAGAAGATCCACAGCTAGATTGTTTAAAAGGGAGAAACGGAAACCATGAATGGCGAGACCAATTCTGTAATCAAAAGCTAGCCGCTTTACTCTGCGTTACATAGATATCATCTGGAGTACAGTGGGGCTTGTCAGCTAGGGATATAAATCTCAGGTTCTTCTTTCTTGCATGCATGGACAAGGAACTATATTTTTTTCTCTTCACAAGGTAGTGAAGTATTTTGCTTCACTCTCAACAAGGACACCATTTTTTTGCGCACAGATCAAGCAAAACTGCACAAATAAACACTTTCACACAGGCAACAAAATTATACAAAATGATGACGGCTGTTGCTATGTGACATGGACTTTTAAGGATCTAACGTCATCAGCGGGGTCCTTTCTCTGTGTTTTGACAGAATGTCCTTCTGTGGTTGCCAACCACACGCCTTGATTATCAGAAGGAAAAGACACCCTTTGTCTCGCACTTTCTTGAAGATAAGGAATTCTCTGAGTCTTACATTCCTTATCGAGGTTTTATTTGGAGTTGAGACAGCCTAAACGAGTGAAGAATTTAACAATCATTTTTTATGTCCCTAGTGGTTTAGGTATCTGGCTGCAGAGCCAGAGGTTGGAAGTTCAATTCCCCACAGGAGAGCAAGCCTGTGTGGCCGTGGGCAAGCTGAACAGTCCCAGGGCACTCCCAGGAGAAAAGGTAAAGGTAAAGGTTCCCCTTGACAATTTTTGTCCAGTCGTGTTCGACTCTAGGGGGCGGTGCTCATCCCCATTTCCAAGCCATAGAGCCAGCGTTTGTCCGAAGACAATCTTCCATGGTCACATGGCCAGTGCGACTTAGACACGGAACGCTGTTACCTTCCCACCGAGGTGGTCCCTATTTATCTACTTGCATTTGCATGCTTTCGAACCGCTAGGTTGGCGGGAGCTGGGACAAGCGACGGGCGCTCACTCCGTCGCGTGGATTCGATCTTACAACTGCTTGGTCTCCTGACCCTGCAGCACAGGCTTCTGCGGTTTAGCCCACAGCACCACCATGTCCCTAGAAATGAAATGAAATGGTAAACCACTTCTGAGTATCCTCTGTCTGGGTTGCCATAAATCAGAAATCACTTAATGGCACATTATTGTGATTATTACTGTACACCAATTGGAACAGATTCAAGAGACAGCAATGAAACCAGCCAGGGGTATGAAAAACAAGTTCAGTGAGGAAAGCTTAAGGAACTGAGTACATTTAGTCTGGAGCAGATACATTTAGAAGGAAATATGCATAGCCATGAGTGAGTGGACCTAATTTCAGTGTGATCAAGCAGTGCTACATTCTACCTCTCCAGGGAAAAAGCAAAGCAAAATGCAGGTTAAAGTACCATTGCTTAACAAAATAAATTGCACTAGGGTACTCCCATTGCATCAGGGGAGATTTGGTCAGTCCATATGTTCTGTTGATTCAAATGGTCCTACTCTAAATGTGACATACTTCAGCACTGGAATGATTCATTGGGCTTGCTTTAGTGCAACTGACTGATAGGCAGGGAACAAACGGCTGAATGAGTTGTTCGTACTGGTTTTTCAGCTGAAAGTATTTGGCACTTTCCAGGCCTGCCTCCTCTGTTGGACACCCACTGGGTCAGGACACGGAGGAGGCGGGGCAGAAGAACCAGGGCGCTGCCTCCGAGTGGGTGCCCACCGAAGGAAGTGGGACTGGGAAGCACTGAACCCGATTGGCCGAAAAATGAACCAGCACAAACCACTGGTTTGGAGGGTTGTGCCAATCACTAATGATAAGCAAGCGGTTTTTGGCCACAACAATCAACCCACTGAGCAGTACAGTCTGAGCAAGCCACAAAGTTGCCTATGGTATCTTGTGTGCTTGGTACAATGTAAAAGTGCTACACAAAGCATGTGCAGCTGAAAGTTGTAGGAAATACTGAGAGCTAGTGACAGCGCTGCTCAATGCTGTCACTAGCTCTCAAGAAACTCTGCCTGAAAGGAAAAGTAGGCACCCTTCAGTCTCAAGAGACTATGGTAACATGCGCTGAATAGAGGTCTTGGAACAGCGTCTAATACTGAAAGAGTACCTACTGTATTGCTACCGTGGAGGAGAGAACTAGGATGATGCAAACATGAAGGCCGTCAGTTTTGGAACTGGTCTAGATATCATACCAGAAAGCACAAAACTCATACCTCTTGCTTCTAAGGATCACAGCACCTTAGGTGTCTTGGTATTGGAAAATATCCTTCCAACAACCCATTCTTCAGGACACAGCTGCTTAATACTAACCTAACTTACTTGCTTTTAGCCCACTGTTGTCTATTCTGATTGTCAATGGCTCTCCAAGGTCTCAAACACAAGTCTTTCCTACCACCTGATCCTTTTAACTGGGGAATACTAAGTTGAATCTGGGCCCTTCTGTAGTATAAATTGCGTGCTTTGTCTCCATGTGGTCACCAAGAGTCGGACACGACTTGACGACTAAACCACAAAACAGATCATCCAATTCACCAGGGTGGATGGGTGGGCAATGTGTAGCCTGCATAATTAATCTGTAAACTGCCCAGAGAGTGCTTCAAGAGCTATAGGGTGATATGTAAGGAGAAGTGTAGTAATATTTCCATGTAGGAGTGGAAAGCCGTATGTCTTCTCAAAAGCAAAAATGAACAACTGCAACTGTTTTGGACAGAGTTTTGCCCTGTTACAGTGCTTTAAATTCTGATCTGAACTTTGACAGCAAGTATGCAAGTTATTTTGTTAATAGATGCAAAACATCTTTGCTGTTAATATTCAGAATTCAACAGCACCATCACTAGTGTCTGACAATAGGATTGTGACATCAGTTTGTAGGCTTTATACATTATTTGTCTGCTACAATTACGTCCTCATCTAAGAGGCACAATACAGCATACAGAGTTCTCTCTGTCTCCACCTTATACTATAGTACGGAGTTGTACAGGCTGAGACAGTATGACCAGCCCAGAGTCACACCATTATTTTCATGGCTAATGATGACTCAAACAAAGCTCCTGTGCCTCTTCCTGCTCCTGCCGATCACTCAACTGGCTCGAATTCTCACTTATTTGTTCTGTTCACTCCTATTCATCTAACCAGATACCATGCACAGATTTAAAGACTCCCTCCATCATCAGGCAATCACATCATCTGCAACTCTAGCAATATATAATAATTCTCAGGTCATATTTCCACTTTTGTACTATGATTGTCAAGACTTTAAATTCAAAACCACAAGGTTAGAAATTGTCAGTTTTGGGTAGGACTTGGAAACTGGGCAACCAGTACAAAATCAGCTATGGCTGAGGTTGAGACCCATTTTCTTTGTCTTGGCACTCACTCCTCATCATCAGGCAATCACATCATCTGCAACTGGTCATAACGCTGTGAACACAAGCACTAAATCCCGTGCTTGCAAATGAGGTAACACTTCTGATGCTATTGGCTCAGACACTTTGCCATCCTCTGCAGGCGGAGGGCACAGGAATTCAACCAGCTACTTCTCGACCCACCAAAATTCTTCTGCAAGAGAGTGCTGTGTTCAAGAAAGGGGATGGGTTTCTATCCCATCACACACACAAACCCATTTTGCTTATAGTCCTCTCCTCCATGCTGTGATGGGAGGGCACTAAAATATATAATCCCTGTATAACAGGCTCTTACATAACACACACCTCAAATTCAAAGAACAGCTTACATATAGTTTTGGTGTGTGGTCGTTGCTTGCAGGCATTTATTTTTTTCAAGGACAAACCTAAGAATACTCTGATGGCTGGGTTATTTTGGGAGCTGTACTCCAAAAAAAAAATGTGATGTGTTCAAGCAGTGACCTCAGTTCACCCCTATTCCCATCCAGAAGAGGGATACTAATTTATTCTCCTAGATTTACTGGTTTTCTGTTCGTCAGAGATACACACACCTTCCAACTCAGCAGCCATAGCTGCTAAAGTTATAGTAAGGAGCCTTGTGACACTGTGCTTAAACTCCTGTATTGCAGTCAAAACACTGCTTACAACCCAGGTTCAATCCCAGGTATCTAGCTTGGGGTTCACTCAGCCTTCCATCTTTCTGAGGTGGGTAAACTGAGTACCCAGTTTGCTGGGGTGGGTGGGTGTTTAATGTGTAGCTTGCATAATTAAATTGTAAACTGCCCATAAAGTGCTTTAAGCACTATGGGACAATATATAAGCAGCACACTTTGCTTTAAAGTTAGATAGTTTTACCATGGAATAAGCTGCTACTCTAGAGACAGCAGGCCACAGAAGCACCTTGATTTTAAATAAAACGTGCAGTCCAACCATAATCACTATTGTATACAAAGGTCTTAACAAGACACCTTCCTTTGGAACGAGACGTGTGTGGAAAAAAAAACCATCCCACTCTTAAAAAATTTATTTATACAAGCACCAGGACTGAAAGGCAGTTCATAGATGATATAAAACTGTGCTCACGACCTGGGGTTCAAATCCCAGGTAGCCAGCTCAAGGTTGACTCAGCCTTCCATCCTTCCGAGGTCGGTAAAATGAGTACCCAGCTTGCTGGGGGGGCAATGTTTAGCCTGTATAATTAAAAAATTGTAAACCGCCCGGAGAGTGCTTGTAGTGCTATGGGGCGATATATAAGTCCAATAAATAAATAAATAATAAATAAATAAATATACTGTTCCCCACAAAATCTGCATGTGTGTCATTGTGCATTCAAGGGGCAAGGTCTCTGTAGCAACAGCCACCAGAAAAGGCCTGCCCTGTTTAGGTTACGCTGTGCGCCACACATGGGAAGAATGGGGGTGAAGTGCAGGGTGCGGCCGGCAGGGAAGGAAAAAGTGAGCTCCTACCTCAGGTAGTCTCTGCGGCACAGGATAAGGTTGGCTTTGGTGTACAAGGTAGAGCCTACCTCTCCCAAACGGCAGTCACAGCATGCGCACTTCAGGCAGTCTTCATGCCAGTATTTGTCCAGGGCTTTTAGGAGGTACCTGTCTTTAATTTTACGGTTGCAGCCAGCACAACCTTTCGGTTTGGTGTCTGGCTGGACAGAGAGCATTTGTATACCTGAAATGAGAAGAGAGAGGAAAATGGAATTAAGTTACAGCCTAGAGACGGGCAGAGCTGTTTTCTCCTCCACCGCCCTCCCAGCAACAAACAAGAATTTTGATAGTAGAGTTCAAACTTCCCCTTTTCTTCAGAATTTCTCGGTTTTTTCTTCTCTAGACTTGCCTCCTCCCATATGGTGTGTTCCATTAGGAACCATTCTCACAAACCCAACCAGAATGACTATTTTTGGGTTACAACTCCAGAAATCCTACATCTGGGATGGGAGCTCAGGTCTGACCCACCATGGAGGGCTCCCAGTTGGGGGCAGATGATAAGACATCGAAGCTCAAAATTCTCAGGGAAGGCTGCTACATAACTTCTACCTCCAAATTAATAATAATAATAATAATCCAGTGACAGTTTGTGTCCTAGATCTCCAACACAATAGTGGCTTCCTACTAAATGTGATTTAAGTTACACTCAATCTAGCAGCTTGTCCTTACCCGGATGCCCCCAAAAGTTCCACAAGCATCATAATAAAGCAACAGAGGTGGTTCCCCAACTCTCAGCTGACATATCACCTTTAAAACTGGAGGGTTCCATCCATCCATTAGGACCAAAATCACTTACTGGCATTAGTTGGTCCAATCCCTTTTTAAATCCACCAATGCCAGTAGCTCTCACAACTCCTTATCACAATAAATTCCACACAATGTAATTAATGTGCTTTCTATTAAGAAATGCTTCCTTGCACTCTTCTTAAATTTACCACCGATATATTTTTATTGGGTGATGCAGTAATCTAGCATTATGAGACTTCCTCCACCCTTTCTCCATACTGCAGATGCAAAAATCTCTCAATCCTAAATTTATTTCCTATTTCCCGATTCCCACCTGCATTCTTGCCCTACGCTCAGTTGAAAGCTGGTTATGAAATGGAGTGTTTTGTTTTCTTTGCAAGAGAATTTAAATATACTTTTTCCATTTGAAAAGGTGCATATTTTTTGCATAAATGTTAATGTGCACATTTCCCCCCACTGTTTATAGTGCGCATAATGTATGCATTTTAAGATGTTCCTGTTTCTTTCCTATGCAAAGTTTTATCTGTTTTAATGTGAAATAAAAGAAACCATTATCCCAAATAACCCACACCTGTCTTACATAATCCTCCCTGCACTCTGAGCAATTACTGTGTGGGGAGTTTTAAAAAAACAGGACTGGAACAACAGATGATTTAGTTGCAGATCATCATCATTTGCCACCAAGTCAATTCTGACTTATGGTGACCTTTCTTTACAGGGTTTTCCAGACAGAGAGTACTTTGAAATGGTTTATCATTCCCTTCTTCTGGGGATGCCCTGGGACTGTGCAGCTTGCCCAAGGCTACCCAGGCTGGCTCTTCTCACAGGAGGTACAGTGGGGAATCAAACCTTCAACCTTTGACTCCGCAGCCAGATACTTAAGCCACTGAACTATCCAGCTAGCTTCAGCTACATTGCCAGACATTTAAAAAGCAAACAAAGGTGACATACAACCGGCAAAATATGGAGATCAGGGGATGAGAAGAGGAAGGAATGGAATAGAGAAGGTGACTTCCAGATAATAGCTTTCACGTTTTCTCACAAATCCTACTACCAATCTATTCCAAGAACACACTGAGATATTTTCTACTTGCTTTTTGCTCGAGTGCAAGCTATTTTCTGTTTTACTGCCAGGTACAACAGATCCTCTGCGTATTATTCTTTCTGTGCCATACCTGGCCGCTATGTCTGTTCACATAATTTCCTGCATCTTTCATTTCTCCTAAAGGTACCCCGAGCCTCTTCGGCATGCAGATTTGGGAGGCACTGTGTGCTTAATTGCACAGCACATCTCAGTAGTTACAGAACGTATTCTGTACCCAACAGAACTAATTTTTTTTTGTTCATACTTAATTTTATACACTTCAATCACATCCCTGCTAGGCCCTTTCTTTTGTAAATTAAAAAGGCACAAACAGATCCATTTCTCTTCAACATTAACCTTGTCTGGTGTACTGTTCCTGCTCCCTCAAATGGGGAACCCCAGAAAGATGACAGTTACAGCCCAGCTTGGCTATCAAACTTACACATGTCTGCTTGGCCTCCAGTTCAACATGTGAGTAACCAACCCTCTCTCCAAAAACACATAAATGCCAGCCTTATCGTTTTCCCCTCAGAATCTCTCCTGATCCAAATTGGATGGCAATTCCAAAAGATTTTACTGCATCTCTTATTTCCTCCCAAGATGCAAGCCTTGAGTTATGCATATACAGTGGTACCCCGCTAGACGTTTACCTCGCAAAACAGTGAATTCGCTAGACAATGAGTTTTTGCGATCGCTATAGCGCTTCGTAAAATGGTGTTTCCTATGGGCAATTTTCGCTGGACGATGTTTTGGATCGTGCTTTGCAGGACATTTTTTTTTCCGGGACCAATTTTCGCAAGATGACGATTTTGACAGCTGAGTCTGCGGCTTGCAAAACTGGTGTTTTCAGGACTGTTTTTAGCAAGACAGCGATTTTTACAGCTGATCCGTGCTTTGCAAAACCGTTTCTCTATGGGCAATTTTTGCAAAACGACAACAAATTTTCCCCAATGGAACGCATTAAACGGATTTCAATGAATTCCAATGGGGAACCGCATTTCACAAGATGATGTTTTCACAAGACAGCGATTTTCGCTGAACGAATTAACATCGTCTTGCGGGGCACCACTGTATCATAGTTATCAGGACGTATTTTCAATATAGAATTCATCCTCAGTATCGTCTTGATTTAAATAGTTATTTTTAGATCGCTTACTATCTTTGCCTGAAATGTAATTAGCCTGCAGACAAAGGTTCCCGCCCTGAACCAGGGAAGGTTTCTTCCAATCCAATCCAACTGCAACAAGACATATCACATCACTACCAAGTTAGGAGCAATGTTCCAAGACTATCACTACATTTAAGAAGGATTGCTTTTATTTCACTTAAGCATGCACAGCAACGATCTCCAAAACACTGAGTGTAATAGGTGGGATATGCATTATTTAAATTCTAAAGAATGTGATGGGTATGCATGTCTCAACTAGGTCCCTAATATGACAGTTTTCTCCGGTCTGGAAAGAACGGCCTTCAGAGTTGAAATGTTCCAAGCGCCAAGAATGGGTCCCTAAAGTGGTAACTCTAGATATTGAATTAAACTTATAATCTGCTGCAGGCAACAGAAATGGGACAGGAAAGAAAGGAAAATGAAAGAGGAATGCTGTTCCCTCCTTCAGGGAAAGACACCGAGGAATAATGAAACAAATCATTTCAACTTTAAATAGAAACCCTAATGGATAGAATATAAGCCTAGCAGAGACATAAATACACCAAATCTGCACAAGCCCTGGAGCCCAATTCTTAGCAACTCCAGGTGGCAGCTTAGAAAGTTCAGATAGCAAGAGAAGGATTCTGCCTGAGCCTCTGCTATAAACAACGCAATAGCCAGCTTTCTGCACCCTGTAATTTAGGATTTACATATACTGTACGTACAGAAATTAACCATGTTTTCGCTGCAGCCCAGAAACTTAAAATTTTGGTTATGAGCTTTGTTCCATAGTTGAGTCAGAAAATTTGCACGCAGGGTAAAGCTAAATACTGTAATAGTACTGCTAAACTTCGGTATACGTCCAACAGAAAAGCAGAGCTATCCATCACCAAGTGCTGCAGAGCAATGTTAGAACTCCCCACCCTGATAGCAAGCACTGGTGTGTGAATGGAACAAGTACACAAGTGTGTTGTGGGGGGGGGGTATCAGAGGGCTTGGACCATAAGGTCTGGTGTCTTAAGTCTCTGACAGCAGGGCACTTCATGGGCAGAGAAAAGTTGCAGATGTCATTCTTGCCGCTCCATAGTTCTACCTGGATAACAACTGGAAGATGTAACATAATTTATCAGCCCAGCCACATTAGGTGACCCAAGGAACCAACCGGTACCCTGATGGTCCTCTATTAATATGCATTCAGTCCCAAACAGAATCCTCAAGGAAACTCACAGCTCCCCACTGTGCCTCTCAGGAGAAAATGCCAGCCTGCGTAGCCTTGGGCAAGCTACACAGTCCCACAAGAGGGACTGGTAAACCACCTCTATGTATTATACTGTATACCTAGAAAACTCTTGAAAAGTTTGCCATTAGTCAATATTTGACTTAACTGCACAGAACTTATTTGTGGTCTCATTCAGCAAATTTTAGGTCATGGTAAAATACTAAGCAAGAACTGTGCTGAGGATCTAAACATATGGGGAAAACTATAAGTGAGGTCGCATCCTTTATAAAAACCCAGATCATCAGTGCTTCTTTATCCCTTGGTAATCTCAGGAACCAGATGGACTTCCAGGTCATGAATAAATCTTGAAGTAGTTGTATATGGGTGAGAAGTTCCATTTATTTTGTTATGAACTTTCTTTTTTTAAAAAGAAAATATTGGGAGGGGGAGGAGGGGAAGATTAGTTTTGTCCATCCAGTTAAAATGGTTTGCAAAACTCCTGTAAGTCTAACCAATTCCTTGTGCCTTTCATTCTGTCTATAGTGATACATTCAATTTGCCATCTCTCTCTCTTTTCATCCTGAGAAGGTCTTCAGCGTTTAACAATTAAATAGCAGGCAGATACAACATGGATCGTAGGGACGTGGTGGCGCTGCGGGCTAAACTGCAGAAGCCTGTGCTGCAGGGTCAGAAGACCAAGCAGTCATAAGATCGAATCCATGCGACGGAGGGAGCTCCCGTTGCTTGTCCCAGCTCCCGCCAACCTAGCGGTTCGAAAGCACGCAAATGCAAGTAGATAAATAGGGATCACCTCGGTGGGAAGGTAGCAGCGTTCCGTGTCTAAGTTGCACTGGCCACGTGACCACGGAAGATTGTCTTCGGACAAAACGCTGGCTCTATGGCTTGAAAACGGGGATGAGCACCGCCCCCTAGAGTCGAACACAACTGGACAAAAATTGTCAAGGGGAACCTTTACCTTTACATCAC